CATGACCTGAGCTGAAGTCGGACACTTAGCTGACTGAGCCACCCGGACGCCCCTCCACACCACACTTCTTAATTTAAACAAACATTCCTCTGTTTTCTCTCACCTACGCTTACCTGAAATTTCTTCTATGCTATTTGCACGCATATCCAGAAGGACTGTTCCATTTATAAGGCAGCTCCTTAGCTCAAAGAGACTATGCAGTGAAAGGGTCGCCACATAAGGCTTGCTCCAGCGCTCTCCCCCATCCTCGACATCTTCTTCAAACTTCAGCCACCTGAAAGCGTGACAAACAACTAGATGCCAGAGGTAGAAAATGAAGGATTTTCACGAGAGAATTTTCTTTTAATTTTTTTTAATGTTTATTTGTTTGTTTTGAGAGAGGGACAGACAGAGAGCAAGCAGGGGAGGGGAAGAGAGAGAGGGAGACAGAATCCTAATCAGGCTCCAAGCTCTGAGATGTCAGCGTGGAGCCCGATGCGGGGCTCAAACTCACGAACCGTAAGATCATGACCTGAGCCGAAATCAAGAGTCAGACGCTTAACTAACTGAGCCACCTGGGCGCCCCTTACGAGAGAATTTTTAATGTAAGCCACAAAGAAAGACATCTGAATAATCATACTGAACGTTGTAATTGAATCTATATGTTCAGGGTACATTGGTAAGTGAAAAAAAAGCAGGTTATAAAACAGTGCAAAATTGAGTACAGTTTGATCCCATTTCTATTTAAAGAAAGATTTAAAAATACAAACACACATGTATAAGACACCAAATGCTGTATCCCTCATTATACCTGGGGTAGTAAAATTATACATAATTTTCATCTTCTCCTTTTTGCTTATCGTTATTTTCCAATTTTGTATAATGAGCACATATTACTTGTGTGACAGATAGATCTCAGGGCGCCTGGGTGGTTCGGTCAGTTAAGCGTCCGACTTCAGCTCAGGTCATGATCTTGTGGTTCGTGGGTTTGAGACCCCGCATTGAGCTCTGTGCTGACAGCTCAGGGCCTGGAGCCTGCTTGGGATTCTGTGTCTCCCTCTCTCTCTGCCCCTCCCCTGCTTGTGGTCTGTCTCTCTCCGTCTCTCAAAAATAAACATTAAAAAAAAAAAAGATCTCATCGGTATCATTTCGGTATATTAATAAAATGATCGTATTTTTCTTTTTAAAAAGCTCTGTGTGACCTTTAGAAGTTGGCAAAGACAGAATAACAAGACGAATTGCCTTTTCACTTGGTATCAGGTTGATTGGCTTGTCTAATCCTCTCCAGCCATGGCAAACGTCCAAGGATATAGCAGGGTTCCAGGAAGAGCTGTTCCAATAAGAGCTAGAGCCACACTTTGCTAGTTACCCAATTTGCCTTCTTCCCTGAGGCTCAGGCATGCTGGCTTTGTATTGTCCGTGAGGCTCACTGGTCAATTACAGAGGAGCCCCAGACATGGCCCTGGTTAATCGGAGGGCTCTTTTGGGGTTTGAGCCTCAAGCAAGCCTGGTCACTCTGCGGCTACCCCCAGAAGCCTACTGTCAGGTTAGCTATAACCTCAGGGGTCTCCGTGAGGTTGGGCTGTCTCAAAAATTCTGAAACTCCCAGTAAATTAAAACCCAAATGAATTAAAATTCTATGGTTCACCTTCAGAAAAGTCTTCACCTATGCTATATTTTCTGGGCTGGGTCCAAACCAAGGCAGTCCCATGAAGCATCTTCTAAGCCAGACCTATAATATCAAGATAGCCCAGGAACAACTCTGGGCCCTAAATAAGTTTGAGGACTCCCTAAAGGTTCTGTTGTTTCTGCCACTAATCCCAGGCTCAAGGTCAATTGGTACAGACGTCACCAGAGACATCACAAAGAGGCCGACATCAAGACTTCGCATAGAAGACTCTGGAACATTAATCCCCACGTCAGTCATTACTTCTCCCATGAAGAAATAAATGAAAAGCAGACCTGTCACTTGCTGAAAGGTCCAAGTTGGTCTACCCAAGCAAATCTTGACCCAGTTTATTTTAGGGCCTTACCTGGCTGTCTCCTTCCATTCAGCATCTTCTCCCTCTTTCATACAGATCTCATCCAGCTCTGTGAACAGCTCGTGAGGTACATGCTCTTCATCTTCCTCAGTGCCCAGAATGAACTGAACACGCTGAGATGGTGTGTCTGGAAAATCAACCACAGAGAAAGGTCTGCTCCCAGCCTCAACTTAGAACAGAAATAGCATTCTGCTATACTTAGCACATCTGGGGGCCTTATAACTTCAGGAACATAGAGAAGACAATCCTGAATGTAGATCAAAAACATTTCTTTACCACCTACCACCCCCCACCCCCAAAATGCTATTCTATGCAAGCAGTTGAAGGGAGGGAAAAATTATGAGCTAAGACCACTTGAAGAAAACCCACAACAAACTGGAAATCTGATTAATTTGATCAAAAAGCATGGATAATTTTCCGGCAAATGATTTCATCTATATAGTCATTGATTTGGGGGGACCTGAACTATATGAATTTTTCAGGAAGGTATTTTTGATTCTTAGAGGCATTTCTTCTTGGAAGCAAGCTCTGAAAACTCTACAAAAGGATTAGAGAAGCAAGACCACCTACTTGACGTCCATCACACATTCCCTCAGCCTCACCGAGGTCCCAGCCATGGACACCCACCCTCTGTCCCGAGAGTGTTACCGTGGGCCAGGGCCTCTGGGCCTTCCTCCCCCTGGCTGGCTCCTTTGCCCCGCCCCCGTCTCCGGTGCTTCTGGCCATGGGTTCGGTGATGACGATGGCTCTGCCGGCCCAGAGGCATCCGAACCCCCACATACAGAGTTCTATGACCTAGAACAAAGCAGAAGGTCTGTGCAAAGAATGCCTTTTTCTTTTTTTTTTTTTTTTTTTTTTTTTTTTTTTTTTTTTTTTTTTTTTTTGGTTTTTATTTATTTATTTTTGGTAATCTCTATACCCAACACGGGGCTCAAACTCACAATCCCAAGATCAAGAGTCTCACGCTCCTCTGACTGAGCCAGCCAGGCACCCCAGAGAATGCCATTAGTAAAAGGAATTGAGCATATTTAAGACAGAAAGAAAATCATAGTTCTCTGGCCTGGTCACAACTCTAGTGGCAAAACTTCAAAGACTTCCAGGACTAAAGATGTATAGAGACCTTGGAGTTGACGGACTCCTTCACCCTACAGTGGCTGCAAGCCTCACAGGAGTGTTAAGATCAAAGGAAGTAACGTGCATGAACCTGATTTGCAAACCATAAAGGTCAACACAGATGCTAGTCGTTGTTATGACAATTTGAGCAATTGGAAAAAAGCAATACAGTCACTCTGACAACCGCAGCAAGTCTTGGAAGGGAGGTAGTTTAGAAAAGTGGTTAAATGCCCAAGTTAACCTGCCTGGGTCCTACACTCGACGACACCATTCACTAACCATGTAACCTGGAACAAGTTATTTAATCTCTGTTTTTAAAAAAATAATACTAAAAGCTTATTATTTAAACTCAGAGGGTTTTTATGAGCAGTAAATAAGATCACGTATGTACAATGCTTAACACAATGCCAATACATTCTAGAACCAGTTTCCATTACTTTTTTCTCCTTCGTTGTAGAATAAACAAGCTCAAATAGAAGTGAGAGACTAGTTACAAACCATAAGAAGCACGAGTCTGCGGTTGTAGGGAGAGAGAGTAAATATTGTACAAGAAGAGAAGAACATGAGAAAACAAGCGATCCCGCAGCATACCTGCATAGGTCCTCCTTTTCTACTCATTTGTTCCTTCTATAGGCAATATTTTATTCTGCTCGTGACTTCTAGGCCTCTCTCACCTCCACTGGCTTTCCCTGCTTTCCTGCCAGGCCTAAGGCGCAAAATCAGTAGCTTCTGGGATGCTACCACCCCCGACACGCAGAGCCTTAGTCTTCCCCCCAGTGCTGCCCAGTTACTGCCACTAGCATTCTAGATCCCGGACTGATCCCCTGCTTCTTCCATTACAGAAGCATTCCAATCTTCAGTCACTGTCCTTAAATCCACAAGCCTGATTGACACTTCCTCCCTCTGAGCAGGTGACCTCACTTCATATGTTACTAAGAAGACTTAGGCTCTCTCATGTGACCTCTGTCCATCTCAGCCTGGCTTGCTTTCTCTCCCAGCTTCTCCTCTTTGCCAGGCTAATGAGCGTGGCCTCCCATGCATCTGGAGTCCTACTCCATCAGCTATCCCCAGTCTCTCCTTTCTACCTACCCCTTCCACAGCTTTCTCTTGATTACAAGTCTCTCTCTCTCTTTTTTTTTTTTTTTAAGTAAACTCTAGGCCCGACGTGGGACTCGAACTCATGACCCTCAGAACAAGAGTTGCATGCTCTACCAACTGAGCCAGCCAGGTACCCCAAGTCTCTCCTATCTTAAAAAGAAACTTTCCCAATATGGTGCTACCCTCTAAGCGTCTACCTGTCCTCTTCCCTTCTCCATCAAACCACTTTTGGGAACAGTCTACCCACCTAGCTCCCTTTCCTCACCATCTCCTCGTTCCATAGCATCTACATGTGGCTACTTTCCACTGAAAGTGTCCTCATTAGGGACCACCTAATCACCAAATCTCTATCATCTTATGTCTCTCTCAAAAGCCTTTCTTGAGAGCCCACCATGTGCCAGGCTATCCCGGTATCCAAATCCCTAGACTACTTCCTCTCATGGATGGTCCAGGGTCCCTTAGCTCCTGTACCCCTGCCCTCCCTTGCTCATTTGCACTCCTCTGACTATGCTTCTCCATCCCTTCCACAATCCCCCAAAGGAAAAATCCCTAGGTTTTGGTCTTGGGCCCTTCCCTTTTTCTATTGGCATCTACTCTCACGATTTGAAAGTTTACTTCTTCAAACAACACCCAAATCTTTATCTATGGCAATTCAATACATCCCAAAGCAAACCCATGATCCTCCACTTCAAGTCAGGCTCATACCCATTTCTTCCATGTTTCTGTTCATGGCATCACCATTGTCTCCACTTTCCAGGCCTGAAACCTCAGAGCTATTCCCCATGCCCCTCAGTGTTACATCCTCCAGATTAGGGATGTCAAGGCTTTCTCTCCTCCCACTTTGACAACAGCAGGAGTCTCCTTCCTCCTCCCATATCGATTCATTCCTACAAATGAGTCTTCCTGAAGCACTGCTCTGATCACAGCTCACTTCTGTGCAGCCAGGACCCTCAGGCCCCAGTCTCCTTTCTAGTCGTTTCTTTACTAGGACAAATCGTGCATTCACTAGGAAAAGAAAGGGAAGGGGCTTCTAAAAGAACTGAGTGATCAGCTCAAGAGAGACTCAAGTGGAAATCCCACACACGGTCACCTCATTTAAAGATTCTGGAGGTTGGGGGTGCAGGTCTAGAGATGTACCCCTTCTGCATCCACCCCAGACACCCTGTCTCCTCTCCACAGCCTCAGATGCTTACACCTGCCACCATCTCACGTTCTTTACCTGAACCAACCTGCTATTCCACAAATGTGCCAATGCCTTCCAGACACGGACTTGGCTCACCTCCACAAGATTCACAGCAAACGCACCTTCCTTCCTTCCTGCTATTATTCCTGATCTCCCCAATCAGATGTGTTGTCTCCTCCTTCTAAATCCCCAGAGCCCTTGGCTAACATTCTCTCATGCACTTATTTTATGCCTTGAACTAGAATTAATACCGCCCACTATTCATCTGCAGGCTTCTCAAGGTCCCAGGTCAGACTTTCTTCCTCTTGGAATCCCTCACATAACAAAGCACAGTGTTTTACAGATGGCCATTGCCGCACAAATGTACAGAAAATGGAACATCTCTTAAGAGCCTCTCTCGGGAAGATAACTTCTCAGGAGTCCAAAATCTAACCTAAGAGGGCCTCTAATCTGAAAGGAGCCACAAAAGGAATGTGTCACCAAAGTGAATGTGTTTAGGGTAGAAGAAAGACTCACCAAAGCATGAGAGGATTGAGAAGGTCCAAGCCAACCTGAGAATGTAAACCTTAATCCAGGAAGACTTCCTGGATAGGGGAACTTTATGGAAAGAGTTACCAACTCTTCATCTTCTTTCCATAGCAATGGGGTTTCCTAAGACTGCGCTCAACTCTTTAGGGATTCCTCAGTAAGTGCTCTCCACTTCCAAGTGGAGTTAACATGCCTTTGAGTGCAGCTCTAACAGTCCTTTCTCTATGTCTCCCTCCTTTTCTTTAACCTCTCCTGCCTTCCAAATTCCAAAGCGATAAAGAAAAATAAAAAGAAACAGGATTATATATACATCTTCTCTATCCATTCATCTCTGGATGGACATTTGGATTGCTTCCATATCTTAGTTCTTGTAAATAATGCTATAATAAGCATAGGGGTGCATATATCTTTTTGAATTAGTGTTTGCATTTTCTTTGGGTAAATACCCAGTAGTGGAATTACCGGATCATACGGTAATCCTATTTTTAATTTTGGGGGGAAGAAACCTCCATACTGTTTTCCACAGTGGCTATACCAATTTACATACAAACGATGGAATATTCCTCAGTCATAAAAAAGAATGAAATCTTGCCATTTGCAACAACATGGATGGACCTAAAGGGTATATAATGCTAAGTGAAGTAAATCAGACAGAGCAAGGTAAACACCATATGATTTCACTCCTGGGCGGAATTTAAGAAACAGAACAAACGAACAAAGAAGAAAGAGACCAAACACACACTCTCTTAAATACAGAGAACAAACTAGTGTTTGCCAAAGGGGAGGTGGTGGTGCTGGTGAAGGAGATGATGGAGATTAAGGAGCACACCTATCATGATGAGCACTGAGTACTATACAGAACTGTTGAATCATTACATCGTGTACCTGAAACTAATGTAACATGGTATGTTAACTATACTTCAAGAAAAAAAGGAACAGTACTGGAGGGAAAGCTGACGAGAGATTTATTTGAATGCTGAGAGGCAGGAGGATAAAATATTCAGTATCCAGTGGAATCACACCTCCCATCCTCATCCTGTCTCAGGGCAATCCTGTGTTGACTCATGCACATCTCAGGACATTTCTGACAGGCAGATCTCCGAACATAGTGTAGTCACCTCATAACTTTATTGAGATAAAAATACAGAGCCAGAAGAAGTCGTCTGCTAAGATGTGGGATTCCAAACCTCTGACATTGTCAGTGAAAACTATAAAATGTGAAAATGACTAAGTTGAATGCCATCTCAATAAAATACCATCTGTTAACTAATAATGTTCCACTATAGTATGTTAATTAGTTCCCCGTAGTATACCGCTGAGACCGACCTGGGCTGGAGTCACATAACTGTTCCAGGTCCTGTTCCAAGGGCTGGGGATACAACAGCAAAAAGTACAAGGTCCCTGTCCTCAAGACACAGATTCTAGTTAGGGGAGACAGACACCATGAAAACAACATATTATTTCAAGTATTGATAATTATCCCAAGTAAAAACATGCTGAAGGATTTGGGGTAGAGGGTAGGATGAAGAAGAGAGATTGTAGCTAAGATGATCACAGGCGACATCTGAGTGATGAGGAGAGGCCATGAGAAGAGCAGTCCAGGGCAAGGCAAGATCAAGTGCATAGGCTCTACAGTGGGAATGTGCGAATTCCAAAGCCAAAGTAGGGCCAGTAGGGCCAGAGCAAGAGGAAAGAGGAAAGAAGAGGAGGAGGAAAAGGTCAGAGAGGCAGGCAGGGACAGATCATGAAGAACCCATGGGCAGTGAAAAGCATAGTTAGATCCCAGAGAACCACTTCAACCAGCCCCTAAAATAGTGACCTAGGGGGTTGCCTGGCTGGCTCCGTCAGTAGAGTGTGCAACTCTTAATCGCAG